TGATTTATGGGTAAAGTTACTTAATTCAAAGTAATTATTGTTGGGTTTGCTTGAACTGTTTGAAGATCATTCTGGAAAACAGATACCTCAAATTATTCTTCCTTTATTTCGATTATTACAAAAGTGATTGAGAAACTTCATAAGCACAAGACATATTCAGTTGGATTAACATTTGTCTACTCTTCTCTTCTTCCTTTTCCATCCTCCAAAGAAGAAATACAGATAAGTATGGCCTTTGTCAGTGTTATAAAGCCTTATTACAGTTCACAAAACCTTTTGTGGAAGAAGTTACTGATGACAAAGAAAATGAGGAAAATGAAAAATTAAAAGATGAATTACTGAAACTTTGTTTCAAAAGCTTGCAATGCCCTTTGCTGAATACTCAAGAATAATTCCTTGAGCAGTCTGAAGAAGCTGGAGATGATCCTTTACATTGCTTTGCAACTGAAATCATAGCTTTTTTATCAGTAACTGGACACAATTTCCCCCCAATTTCTTTTTTGTGGTACTAGGGTTTGAACTCAGGGCATTGCTAGGCAGGTGCTCTGTCCCTCAAATTATTTTTAAGCATTGGAGAAGAAAGAAGACTAGGATTACCTTGAATTTGAGGAAGAAGACAAACTACTAGCAGACTCAATGGCCTCTTTAGCATATCTAGTATTTGTTCCTGACATCAGTATTGATCAGGTTTCAATGGTCTTAACATGAGGCATGTTGAAATCTTTTTTGCAAAGAGCAGAAGAGTTTGTTTTTTCCAAAAAGTTGGAACTGCTGGAGAATGGTTTACTGAGAAAAGAAAACAATAGCCTACTTTACCAGTACTTGAAGATAAAGAATTTTCTCTCTCTCTCTCTTTTTTTCTTTGCAGTACTGGAGTTTGAACTCAGGGCCTTACACTTGCTAGGCAGGTGCTCTACCACTTGAGCCCACTCCTCCAGCCCTTATTTTGTTGAGTATTTTTGAGATAGGGTCTTGTGAACTATTTGCTCAGGATTACTTTGAACCATGATCCTCCTGATCTCTGCTTCCTGAGTAGCTAGGATTACAGGCCCTTCCCCCACCCCAAGAGTTCCCTTACATTAGCTCAGGGCTTTGTCAAAGTAATGACACTTGCCCTACTGAGACACTGAGGGAAAGGTTTTAGCTATGCCTCAGCTGTATATTACCAAGCTGGATCCCCTGAATACAAATAATCACTCAGGTGTGGAGCCCTTTAATGTTCAAAATATCAAAAATCAAACTGATGTGTCATTTAAGAAAACATATAACAAATGGTTTACAGGACCACAGCTGGTTTCTCTTTTAGATTGAGTACTATTTCTCCCAGAGAGTGCTGAAACTGATTTACTGCAAAACTCAGATAAGATTATGGCTTCATTAAATCTATTGAGGTGTTTGGTTGTCAAAGATAATGAAAATGACAGTCAAACTGGATTATGAACAGAACTTGGGAAGACTGAGAATAATTTTTAAAGCTACTTCATCCAAGATTTAATATGTCAAAAGCATATTTTGAAGCAGAAATTAAAAACAGTCAAGAAAGCCAGGCACCAGTGGTTCACACCTATAATCCTAGCTACTCAGGAGTATCTCAGTTCGAAGTCAGCCCAGGCAAATAGTTCTAGAGACCCTAGCTCGAAAAAACCCTTCACAAAAATCGGGCTGGTGGAGTGGCTCAAGGTGAAGGCCCTGAGTTCAAGCCCCAATACTACAAAAAAAAAAAAAAAAGGAACAGTCAAGAAAATAGCCAAGTAGTCCAGACATCTAAGGATCTTTGTTCAAAACTGTAGGTGGTGGATTGGTCCCTAGTATGCTGAAATGTAGCTGAAGGTCCTGTGTTCAGCTCTTTTCACATTTGATTTGATTTGATTGAAAGTGTTCTGGCCTGTGTAGAAGAATGGGGAGACCAGTAACCGAATGGACCAAGAAGAAACCTTGACATAAGCCTGGCCATGTCAAGGACCTCTGAGCTGAGAAGGCATGGCCCCAGCTTAAAGGAATTGGACAAGGTTCAGCATGGCTGCCTTGCATGGGAAACAGGACATATTTACCTTTAGACAAGGACAGTCAGAATAGGAAAACAACTTACCATAGTGTCCTTGTTCTTGCTGACTACATGACTTGGCCCATGAGAACCTAACTTGACTTCTGCATATATGCTGTATAAATAAGTGTGCTTGGAGGTGGAGAGGGTCTCTCATCAGGAATGTCAGATCCATGCAATCCCAGCTTTTCTTTATGTCTGTCTTTGTATCTTTTTCTTAATCCTCAGTTGCTCCCAGTCAGGTCAATGGCCCTCTCACACTGGCCATGACAGAAGAATTCACTGAAATAAAAAAAGTTCTACTTCCTAAGTAAAGACTAATAAAATATAAAAATAAAAAATAAAATAGGAGTTTGCTCATAAAGATGTCTGCCTCACTTAGGAACTAACAGTTACTATTTTTCTAAAAACTCCTAAGCAAATCTAATATGAAGCCAAAGTTGAGAGGTGCTGGAATATTTGTTGAATTAATTTCTATGCTCGGCCTACTTTGGGGTCATTCAGTAATGACAGGCATTTTAGTGGATCTAGGGACATATCTAAAAGAACTTCTGATTTAGCCAATCGTGTTTACTCTTCTAGTGTACATAATTATATGCAGGAAAGAAAACAAAGAGAGGTTCCATTTCCTTCTATACTGCTTTTTAGAACTAACACCTGCTAAGAGCTTTAGCACAGTAATCTGTTCAAAAGACAGTTTTATTGCTGCTTCCTCTTTGATAAGGGCCCCAAGGTGAGTATAACCACTGGTGGGGATGGGCCTGGTGTGGGACAATTGGGAGATTAGATGTTACTGCTGCAAGTCTCTTCAAGAGACGGTATTCATTGTTGCATATTTGTTTTTAATCTTATGTTGAAACATATTTGCAGTGTGTATATTTTTTGACAGCACAGTGAATTGAAGTCAGGGCCTCCTGCTTGCTAGGCAAGTCTCTACCACTTGAGCCACACCCTAGTCCTTTTGCTTTTTTAAAGTTTGTTTTCAGATAGGCCAGGCAGCCTCAGACTGTGAGCTGTCTACTTCTGCTTCCCAAATAACTGGATCACAGGCATATACTACCATGACTGGCTATTTGCAGTATTTTTAAGGTCACAGAAAAAAATACAACAAAATACAATCATATCATTAATTTTCAGTAACATTTCATGTTCCTAATGTTCTGACAGTATAGAAACTTAAGTAGCATAGATGCCTTTAATCTATGAGGTCCTTTTATGGATAAACAATAATGTGAGCAATTGAGTTTGAGTTAAGGAAGTTCAACGTTTTTACCAGATTATCTTCTTAAAGAATCTCTTGAAATTCCCAGATGTTTATATACTACATAATCCATTCTGATTACTGCTTAGACCAATACATGACATCTTAAGAACTTTTTTCTTTTTTTGAGACAGGGTCTATTTATATAACCCAGGCTGGTCTTGAACTCACAATCCTCCTGCTTCACCTCTTCCTGAGTGCTGGGATTACAGGCATGCACCACCTCTGAAGAGGTGGCTGGCTCTGAAGACTACTTCCTTAAAGATGTTCCTTCTTTCCTGTATTAGTTCACATAAGCACACTTCTTTCCCTTCATTACCTGTAGACATAACTTGAAGAATCTGAGACTAAAATATGTATTCAAGACAGCTTAAAGCTGAAGAATACTGAAATGTACTCTGTGCTAAGGAGTTCAAGCTCCTCCAAGGTTTCCCTTACAAGTACTCAGCTTCTTTGGTGACATGTTGCCCTGGCCTGTTACTCTCCTCCCAATGGGAGGACCTGTACACATCCATCATCCCTGGAATCCAGACTCCTGAAAACTAAACCCTCTTATTCTACTCTTTTTCCCCAAAATATGACTTAAGTGTGTGGCCAAAAGGAAGGTGAGCCTGGTGAGCACATCAATTAAAGTAGTAGAGTGGTGAGGAAGAACAGCTCTGGACCACTGGTAATTATTGTGCTTTTTACTTTCTAGTCAGCATTGTTTAGGGCTGCTACTCAAAGACTTATCACACTACAAAGCATTTCTAATTTAACATTTGGCTATCTGGCCCAATTTTAGCTTATGAATATGACATAGGACCTAAATTCTTAATCCTAGCTAAATTCTTAGTACCATTCATTCAGGTTCCAAGTCCAGATTCTGTTCTAAAACTTTAATGGTTCTGTGATATTTCAACACTTCTATGGCACTAGAAAGATTTTAGAATTCCAGTGCTTTTTTTTCTTGTTCATTCTTGTAGATAATAAGGGAACTGAACTCCCCAGTAGGTTAATACTACTACCTCATATTTTTTAAAAATTATCTAATTAAACATAGAAACAAGTAGAAAAGATCTAGGACCCCTCGGTCACCAATGGTAGAATCTAGAATCTCTCTGAGAGATCAGCACTGCTCCAAATAAGCACAGATAGTGACTTCAGCTAAGTATGTAAATAGTGGGCAGAGTTTGAAGTGATGGAGGATTTGCCTGTTTCCAATGCCCAAAGATTCAGGGGCCAAAGAAGTGGCAGAGACCTCAGACAGCCCTTAAAGACAACCTAGGCACCTAAGACCAAAATAGTTCTCCTTTGAATACTGGCAGGCAATGATTTGAAAGGGGACAAACACACATCCACGCTCATTAGAATGCAGCAGGAAGTGGTTTTACTGTTATGAACACTGTGCAATAAAGCTTGGACAAAGTTCCAAAGTCCAAACTTGAAGGCCCGGACCTTTCCTTGCCCTCTTTCTATATTTCTTCCCTCAACACAGACAGAACTCCAAAACAGAAAAGAATCCTATTTGTTTTTGCCCAATTCTATTCTTTTTTTAATTTAATTTTATTTATTTAAAATTTTTTTTAGAGGTCGGAATGATTTTATTTGTAGAGAATTTATTTGTAGAGAAGAGAAGAGAAAGACTGCATATTGGGGAATGCAGGGGGACCCAAAAGCGGTGATCCTTTATTTTAAATTTTTTATTTTTTGGAATATTTTAGTTGTACTGAGAGTACATTGTGACATTTACAAAAGTGCTTACAGTATATCTTAGTTAGATTCATCCCCTCCATCTTTCTCCTCTATCCCCCCTTCCCCTGATCCAATTCTATTCTGGTAGAAGGTCCCAATACCTCCCTTCTGTCCTCTTGGGGAACACAGAAATAAACAAGAGAAAAGAAAAAAAAAGCAGAAGATATTGTCAGAGAACCTATGTGGAATGAGAGGAAGTGTTCAAAACCTCAAACAATCTTATCTAAGTGTATAGGAACCAGGTGGTAGGGAGGGTCGCTCTTCTGAGGGGGTGCACAGGCAATGATGAAGAACTTGTCCTGCACAGCATGGCTGTAGAGGCAGTCAGGGTACTTCCCTACCCTGAGCCTGCACTGAGTCATGTTGACCGGCTGGGCGCTCAGGTGGCAGTTGTTCTCACCATTCTTGCAGGTGATGTTGGGCAAATCACAGGCAGCAGCCACGTTCTGGAAAGAGTTGTGCAGAAAGGTGTTTTCAGGCTTGCAGTGCTGTGTGTAATTGTTGACACCACTCATGGCCATGTTGCATTGCTGAGGACTCAGCTGTATGTGCTGAATTTCAAACCAGTGAGCCTTAGTGAGATGCTTAGGCTGAGCACAGCGTGGACACACCAGGGTCCACAGTCCCACCAGCAGGAGGAGAGGAAAACATCCCAGAAGGCCAAATGCCATCTTGTCTGTGTGGGAAGAGAAAAGACTGTGGGAATCACAGAAGTAGTAACACTTAATCATGACTATTTAGATGTTTTTGTTTTACCTTTTAGAATTTCATACCTCTTAAAACAATGACAACAATCTTCTCTCTAACAGAGAATCTCACAATTCTATGAAAACTCTGAAGCCCAGGGAGGAAGAAGAGGAGGTGAACAGAGCTTTCCTCGGGGCATTCAATGACCCTCATGTCAGAAGTCTTTTTTTAATCTCTTCCCTCCTGAGATTACCTGTTTCCCATCATCTTCACACACTTACACAGCCCTCCTCATGCAGCTCTGACGTCTCTCCTCTTACCAGGTGTTGGTACTGGAGCTTCTGCTGAGAGAAGAGGTAGTGGTCAGTCCCAGGTTCAGAGTGTTTTGTTTGCTTTTCTCCTCTCAAGCCTGCCCATGAGGGGCAGAGTGAAAAGCATCTAAGCCCTGGGAAATAGAAACCTAAGTCTCTGCAGAAGCAAACTTCTACACAGTGAAGTGAAACTGCAGACTCTCAAATCTGCTCCTTCAAATAGAATCATGATCGTTGATTATAGAGGAAGAGTCTGCTCATTTTAAGAAACAGGATGACTCAAAAGTCAGCTTTGAGGAACTTAGCACTTTCTGATGTAGGGTTAATGCTTCCTCCTTGAGTGAAAACTTTGGTTTTTTGAAGCTCTATGATTTCAGTTCCTTCAGAAAAAATATACTGTTTAAATCTGATACAACAGCTGCTACATACCTGGTAATGTGAATTCCAACAATAGATGTGAATGAATTATTCATTGTGTATATGTTTATTGAGCCAGATACTGGGATTCTCAGATTCAGGAGTTCAGAATTGAATGAAAGAGTCAGGCAAATAGACAAGAAGGTATCAAATTAACCAATATAAATAGCAGTCGCAGTGTGACACTAGAAGGGAGTTGGACAAATAGAAGGTAAGAATTATTGGAGGACACAGCCGATTGAATTTTGAGGAATAATTAGAAGCTAAGTGAGGAATGTGGTAAGGGCCTCAAAAGATGGACCTGTGTGTGGAAGGACCCACAGCTGGGAAGGAAAAGGGCAAATTGAGACTCTTGGCCTGGGATATGCTATCCTTTCGTCTGGTGCTGAGGGACCCTGCTTCTGGGCCTCACTGTCTCATGGAAGGCTCACATAAAGATTCCCACCTGGACCCCTGGCTTTAGTCTCTTTTCTTCCAATCCATTCTATATATTGCTTCCAGATCAGCCTCCCTTGAGCACAGCTGTAATAGTGCAACGCTTTTGTCCAATGTTTTTAATGGTTCCAAATGGCTACAGGAAAAACATGATGTCTGTTTTTTGGGTTTACCTGCAGTTAAGGTAATTATAGGATAGGAGCTTATGGAGTGGCTTAAGTGGCAGAGTGCCTGCTTAGCAAGTGTGAGGCCCTGAGTTCAAACCCCAGTACTGCAAAAAAAAAAAAAAATCAATCAAGATACTTACAGGATAGAAGGTTAATATATAAAACTCAATTGCTTTCTGACACCCAAGCAACGAACAACTGGAAGTTGAAATTAAAAACACAGTACCATGTACATTACATCAAAGAAAAGTGAAAAAAACTGATGAAAGAAATCAAAGAACTAAATAAGTGCATAGATAACCCATATTTGTGAATAAAAAAGTCAATATTCTTTAGATGTCAGCTGTTCCCAGTCAGGTGTGGTGGTATATGTCTGTAATCCCAGCACTTGGGAGGCTGAGGCAGGAGGATCATGAGTTTTCGGTCAGCCTGGACTACATAGTAAGACCTGGTCTCAAAAACCAAAAAAAAAAAGTCAGTTTCTCCCATCTTGTTCCACAGATTAAACACAATCCTAGTCAATATCTCACAAAGTTATTTTGTGGATAGTAAACTGATTGTTAAGTTTATATAGAAAGGCAAAGGTCCAGACTAGTCAATGCTATGCTGAAAAAGAAGCCCAAGGTCCGAGGACGCTGGTTCCCAACTTCAAAATACCACACAGCTTGGCAGTTAGGTAGTATGTCAGCCATCTTTCCATTAACACAACAAAACACCTGAAACTACCAACTTAGAAAGAGAAAAGTTCTATTTTGGCTCATAGTTTCAGAGGTTCCAGTCCATGGTCAGTTGCTTTGAGCCTGCAGCAAGGTAGCAGATTACAGGGGGACACAGCAACAGATGTGGAAGAACTGCTTAGTTCAAACTGGCCAGGAAGCAAGAGAGAGAAAGAGGAGGAGCTGTGTCCCCATATCCCGTCAACGGGAAAACTTCCAATGACCTAACTTCCTCCCCTGGACCCCACCTCCTAAAGACTCCACCATGCTGGTGGAGTGGCTCAGATGGGAGAGTACCTGCCTAGTAAGCATGAAGCCCTGAGTTCAAACCCCAGAACCTCCAAACAACAACAACAACAACAACAAAAGAGAGAGAGAGAGAGAGAGACTAAAGGCTCTATCGCTTCCCAGCAGCACCACAGTCTAGGGAGCAAGCCTTCAACACACCAGCTTCTGGGTGACATTCAAGATCCAGACAATAGCAGATAGGGTGCTATTTGTGAAATAAACAAATAGGTCAATGGACAGAATGGAATGCCCCCAAACACACCCACACAGTTATGATGAACTGACCACACCACATGCTGCCAAGGATGACAGCAGGAAGGCTAATCCTTTTTGAGTGGAAATTTTTTTCTAGGGTCATATTTGGGCTGGACAATTCTGGTGTCCTACAAGAGAGAATCCTGCCTGAATCTCATGACTTTGCTGGGAATCTTGATGGACAGTCCCACGGATATTACAGATAAAAGAGGAAGAATAGCTCCATGGGGGAAGGGAATGAGTGGCTTTCCAAATAAGGGGTGAGTGCTGGCAAAGCCAGAGCAGCCATGCAAAGCTGCTGTGCCCATTGCCCTTAAATCTGTTTTCCTTCTGTACTGTTTTGGATCGCCACCTGTTAACTCTTTCACTTTACTTCATGTATGTATGTATTTATTTATTTATTTATTGCGGTTCTGGGGCTTGAACTCAGGGCCTTCACCTTGAGCCACTCCACCAGCCCTATTTTTGTGAAGGGTTTTTGGAGATAGGGTCCCTCGAACTATTTGCCTAAGCTGACTTTGAACCACCGTTCTCCTGATCTGTGCCTCCTGAGTAGCTAGGATTACAGGCATGAGCCACTGGTGTCTGGCACTTTATTTATTTATTTATTATTTTGAAACAGGGTCTTGCTGTGTAGCTAAGGCTGTCCTCTAGCTTGTGATCTTCCTGCCTCCAAAGGGCTGGGGTTACAGGTATGTGCCACCATGCAGGGTTCTGCGGGCCCTTTAATAAAAACAACTTTTACACTTTCTTATGTTGCGGAAATATTGTCTGATGAGAAACCAAGTGACACTCAGAGAAGTAGGAGAACCCAGACTTTATTTTATGCCAGTGGTGCCAGATGAGCTTGTATTAAAAATTCTGGGACCCCAGCAGTGAAATCAGAGGAGTCGTAAAGAACAGTGCAGGGAATCGGGTTACCAGGAATGTGCTGGTTGCTAATAAGTGGGCCCACGCTGGGGTTAGGGACCTGGGGTTGTTTAGGCAGGAGCAGCAGGGGGCCTGCTTCAGAAAGTTTGTTGCAGAAGGAGACAAAGAAAGGTGGGAATGGGTGGTTATCTCATCATGGGGCCTATGAATTCATTTTATGGCTTAACTAGCAATCTTCCTGTTCACTTAAATGAGATGTTTGGGAGAACCTATTATAGAAGACCAGAATAGGCCACTCCAAATGTTACTTGATGTGAAGATAATTTTGAACTGACTTGTTTTTTCTCTTTTCTTTAGAACAACAAGAGAATCTCTTAGAGTATAAGTTATCCTTTTGTAAGGGAAATTTATACTTATAAAGAATGCCTTTGGGGCTGGGACATGGCTCAAGTGGTAGTGCCTGCCTAGCAAATGTGAGTCCCTGAGTTCAAAACCCAGCACTGAAAAAGAAAAACTTCCTTTCTACAGATGTCTTCCCCTCTGCACTAGAAAGAGCAGAATACTAAATCACAACAAACTCTTCTCAGTGAAGAAGGCATTAAATTAAAATAGTGTAACAGATCTTTTGTTTCCTGTGGATGGGGTATTCCATATGTTTCTTGGTTCATGGTTGCAAAGTGTAAGATCAGGACACTGTCCCAGGTGCCACAAAAGAAGCACAAAGAGCAGGAGGAGAGTAAGAGTGGTTCATTAGCAAAGTGAATTATACTTGGGGATGGGTGGGTGAGGAGGGCAGTCTGGGAAAAGGACAGGCTGGGTGGAACTATTGGGGGTTGGGGTTTTATCCTGTAAGGGAGGGTTACAAGGCAACACCTCTGCAAGTGGTTTGATGACTGTGCAGTGGCTTCCAGGGTGTGGAAGGGCATACACCTGTGTATTTGGTCCTCTTTGCCTTGCCTATTTGATTCTCTTATGCCCTCCCCACCTTGGCGCTGCCAGTGGAAGGTCAAAGATCGGACATCACACCGCAAGAGGCGTGCTTGACTAGATCTGGGGAGTAAGCTCATAGAAAGGATGTATGACCATTTCATAGCCCAAGGCACATCCTTGCTCCTGCACTAACACTTTCCCTTGTTAACCATTCTTTTCCTGATCATCTTGCCTCTCCACACCCTTTGTTTTAAATGGAGATGAAATAGTAGATGCTAAGGAAAACTCCCCTGTGCTCTCTGAAGGTCCATCATCGAGTCTACTGGAATAAGTTTATTCCACAATAGGTGGAGGAACAAAACAGTTTGTTTACTTGCATGTGTGTGGGAGCCACCCCAAAATAGGAGCCTCAATGGAGTGCCAGAGGGTTGAAGTGTAAATAGCAAAGAAAAAGAAATAAAGTGGTGGGGGTTATTGGTGATATTTATACATAGTCATACAGGGAAGACTCACCACCCCATGGAGAGATGGACATTCCTAGCATGTTCAATTTGAGTTACAAAGTACGGGTTCAAAAATAAAATAACAACTCAAGTTGCAACCGGGAGTTCTAAGCCAGAGGTACAATTCCAGGGGCTCCAACATGTCTGTAACAGCCACTTACCCTACTATGCCAAGTAAAGAGATGAGTGGTGGTGAAGGGCAGAGAAGGATTTATGGTGTGGCACCATGGGAAAAGGCTAAGTAAGCACTTAGCCCATCCTCAGGGTGCAGACATGAGCTTTAGATTTAAACAGAGGAAGAATAAGGCAGCAGGTGAGAGGTTTGCACAATTATTAAACAGTTCCTGTTAGGAAAAATGCCGCTCACAAAGAAAGCTCATGAGAAAAGTCTCACATCCATAGAGCAAAGTTTAATGGCAGGCACAAACTGCCAGGCTGGCTGGGGAAAAGATGGCACAGCCCCGAGTCTGGGCAAGTAGTGGCTTTTATAGAAGGGGAAGGGTAAGGAAGTTAGTGCATGTGCAGTAGTCTCTGGCAGGGGTGGGGCTGTCTCAGAGCAAGGGAATTTGTTTAAGGGTGGGACTGCCATTTTGGCCGATTCACAAAATGGTGACATTATTATTCTATCGTCCCCCCATTTTTTCTTTAATAAT